TGCCCAGGCTGCTCTCAAACTCCTGGGCTCAAGCAGTCCTCATGCCTCGGCTTCTCAAAGTGTTGGGATTATAGGTATGAGCCACCATGCCCAGTGTATATACTCTTATATAAGACTTCTTTCCCTCAGCATTATGTTTTTGAGATTCCTCTATGTTTCTTGTATCAGTAGTTCATAATATTACACGATTAACTTTTAAAGGTCATGATAAATATTGTTAAATTGCCCTCCAGGAAAATGTGATCAAATTTTTTCATTAAAAAATCCCAAGTGGCTGGGATTATAGGCATTCACTACTTTACCCTGCCCTGTGGTCAGATAATTATTTCATAGCAGCATGTGAGAGTATTTGTGGTGCTTTCAACAATCTGACTGTGAGAGGTGGTATTTTAGCTTGAATTTATTTCATTTATCATTTGTTGTTCTTCATTTCTCCCATGTATGTTTTGGACATTTTAATTTTCTCTTCTGCGAATTTTTCATGTTTGTTTCCTATATCTCTATTTGGGTATTTGAGGTTAAATTATTACTTAAAAAAACTTTTTAATCAGTTTGAATGTTAAATTTGACCTCTCATGTGCACTGAAAATTTTTTTTCTCAGTATTTTTTTCTATTTCTGGGTTTGCTTTTAAAATTTTTTTGAATTTAATTATTTTTAGAACTAGAGTCTTGCTCTGTTGCAGCCTCACTGCAGCCTCAAACTTTTGGGCTCAAGTGATTCTCCCACTTTAGCCCCCTGAGTAGAGGGGACTTTAGGTGTGTGCCACCGTGCCTGGATGATTTTTAAAGAAAGGGTATCACCATGTTGTGCAATGAGTCTTGAACTTCTGTGCTCAGAGGATCCTTCTTCCGTAGCTTCTCAAAATGTTGAGATTATAGGCATGAGATACCATGCTCGGCAGGTGTTTATGTATCTAATTATAGCAAAGATGTAATAAATATACAGTATAAAAGATAACAAATAGGCCGGGTGTGGTGGCTTATGCCTGTAATCCTAGCACTTTGGTTGGCCAAGGTGGGCATATTACTTGAAGTCAGAAGTTCAAGACCAGACTGGCCAACATGGTGAGACCCCCTGTCTCTACTTAAAAATACAAAAATTAGCTAGGTTTGGTGGTGCATGCCTGCAATCCCAGGTCCTTGGGAGGCTGAGGCAGGAGAGTTGCTGAACTCGGGAAGCAGAGATTGCAGTGAGCCAAGATTCCACCACTGCACTTTAGCCTGGACAACAGAGCAAGACTGTCTCAAAAAAAAAAAAAAAAAATGAAAAATGGTACACCTGTATAAGGTACTTTCAATGAATGGGGCTTGCAAGACTGGAAGCTGCTCTGAGTGAATGAGTGATGAGTGAATGTTAAGGCCTAGGATATTACTGTGCACTGCTGTAGACTTTATAAACACTGTACACTTAGGCTATACTAAATTTGTTTTAAAAATTTTTTATTTCTTTAATAATTTCAGCTTACTATAAGCTTTTTACTTTATGAAGCTTTGTTTTTTCTAACGTTTGACATTTTTGAAGTAATATTTAGCTTAAAACACGAACACGTTATATAGCTACACATACTTTCTTCACATACTTATTCTATAAGCTTTTTGCCATTATAATGTCTTTTTTGTTTTTGACGTGTCTCACTCTGTCACCCAGGCTGGAATGCAGTGGTATGATCTTGGCTCACTGCAACCTCTGCCTCCTGGGCTCAAGCGATCCTCCCACCTTAGCCTCCTAAATAGCTGTGACCACAGGCCTGCACCACTGTGCCTGGCTAGTTTTCTTGTATTTTTGTTTGGAGAGGTGAGGTCTTGATATTTTGCCCAGGCTGGTCTGTAACACCTGGCCTCAAGCAGTCCACCCACTTTGGCCTCCCAAAGTGCTAGGATTACAGGTGTGAGCCACCACGCCCAGTTTTGATTTTTAAATTCAATAATAAATTGCAACCATTTTTCATGTTACTAATTTCCTCACAACATTTATATGATGGTACTAATTCTGCCATGTACATCTTCTTGCAACAAGTGTAAGATGGGCACAATTTTATAAGCCTTTGTGCACAAAGAATTGGATTTATTCTACTTCTAAGTTTTCCAGAAACCGAATCTACTTTTAAATTTGGTTTTTAGTTTTAAAACATTTTAGGGCAGTCTGTAATGAAAAAGCCCTATATTTTAATAAAATTTTTTTTTCTTTTTTGTTGCATTTTAGGTTTTAGGGTACATGTGCAGAAAATGCAGAATAGTTGCATAGGTATACACATGGCAGTGTGTTTTGCTGCCTTCCTGCCTCTCACTCACATTTGTCATTTCTCCCCAGGCTATCCCTCCCCAGCTCTCCCTTCCCACTGTCCCTCCCCATTCCCCCCAATAGACCCTGATGTGTAGTACTCTCTTCCCTGTGTCCTTGTGTTCTCATTTTTCCTCACCCCCCTATGAGTGAGAATATGTGGTATTTCATTTTCTGTTCTTGTGTCAGTTTGCTGAGAATGATGTTCTCCAGTTTCATCCATGTCCTTACAAAGGACATGAACTCATCGTTTTTGATTGCTGCATAGTATTCCATGGTGTATATGTTCCACATTTTCCCAGTCCATTCTATCATTGATGGGCATTTGGGTTGGTTCCAGGTCTTTGCTATTGTAACAATGAACATTCATGTGCAAGTGTCCTTATAGTAGAACGATTTATAATCCTTTGGATAGATATCCAGTAATGGGATTGCTGGGTCAAATGGAATTTCTATTTCTAGGTCCTTGAGGAATCACCACACTGTCTTCCACAATGGTTGAACTAATTTACACTCCCACCAGCAGTGTAAAAGTGTTCCTATTTCTCCACATCCTCTCCAGCATCTGTTGTCTCCAGATTTTTTAATGATCACCATTCTAACTGGTGTGAGATGGTATCTCAATGTAGTTTTGATTTGCCTTTCTCTAATGACCAGTGATGATGAGCATTTTTTCATATGTTTGTTAACCTCATGTATGTCATCTTTTGTAAAGTGTCTGTTCATATTTTTTGCCCATTTTTGAATGGGCTTGTTTGTTTTTTTCTTGTAAATCTGAGTTCTTTGTAAATTCTGGTTATCAGCCCTTTGTCAGATGGGTAAACCGCAAAAATTTTTTCCCATTCTGTTGGTTGCTGATTCACTCTAATGACTGTTTCTTTTGATTTCCAGAAGCTGTGGAGTTTGATTAGGTCCCATTTGTCTATTTTGGCTTTTGTTGCCAATGCTTTTGGTGTTTTGGTCATGAAGTCCTTGCCTACTCCTATGTCCTGAATGGTTTTGCCTAGATTTTCTTCTAGGGTTTTTATGGTGTTAGGTCTTATGTTTAAGTCTTTAATTCATCTGGAGTTAATTTTTGTGTAAGGTGTCAGGAAGGGGTCCAGTTTCTGCTTTCTGCACATGGCTAGCCAGTTTTCCCAACACCATTTATTAAACAGGGAATCCTTTCCCCATTGCTTGTTTTTGTCGGGTTTATCAAAGATTGTATGGTTGTAGATATGTTGTGTTGCCTCCGATGCCTCTGTTCTGTTCCATTGGTCTCTATCTCTGTTTTGGTACCAGTAACATGCTATTTTGATTACTGTAGTCTTGTAGTATAGTTTGAAGTCCGGTAGTGTGATGCCTCCTGCTGTGTTCTTTTTGCTTAGAATTGACTTGGCTATGCGGGCTCTCTTTTGGTTCCGTATGAAGTTCATGGTGGATTTTTCCAGTTCTGTGAAGAAAGTCGATGGTAGCTTGATGGGGATAGCATTTATTCTGTAAATTACTTTGGGCAGTATAGCCATTTTCACGATATTGATTCTTCCTAATCATGAACATGGAATGTTTCTCCATCTGTTTGTGTCTTCTCTTATTTCATTGAGCAGTGTTTTGTAGTTTTCCTTGAAGAGGTCCCTTACGTTCTTTGTAAGTTGTTTTCCTAGATATTAATAAAAGTTTTTTAATGTGTTAACTTGGCTTTACATAAGTTACATTTACTTATTGAAATCATCCATTTTCTTAAGAGTTTAATTCCTTAGTGGGACCTTTGACTTTACCATATTCAACTTCCCTATTTTATGGAGGAGGAAATTGAAACCCTAAGGCATTTGGGAGACATGTGCAAGATCACACTGCAAGTACTGGTGAAGCTGAGACAAGAACCCCATGCTAACTCTATTTCTTTATCCCATGACACCTTTTATATTCATGGGAGGTCAACCAGAGTTACTTCACTTTCCTTGGTCATTTCACTGAGACTGCCTAGCATCAGACGCTCTGCATGCTTTTCTGATTCAGGTTTGCAAAGGGTACCCTTGTCCAGCAGACTTTACTGTATCAGAAGCAATAAAGAAGTTGAACATTTGGAATTTCTAAACTTGGATATCTTTAGGGGATTGCTAGATTATTGCAAAATGGCTCTGTTTTTATTTTAAATACATGTCCAGATACCTATTTTTTCTTCTCAGTTTGTATGGGAGCTGGAGAGTGCAGGCAATGAAACCTGCAGTATTTATTAATATGTAGTCATTAACTGTATTTTTTATCAACTTCCTTTACTGCCATATCATTTTTAGATAAAAGCAGGAAGTCCTGTTCTCCCTAAATCATTATGCTCTTTTTGTTATTCTAGAATTAAGAAATAGTCTTAAAAAGCCAAAAATTTCCCATGAGGAGTATTATAGTAAAGCCTTGCCTTGGGTTGAAGAAAGCAGGAATAACACCCTGAGGGCCAGCAGGATTTTCAAAGGCACAGAACACCTCTATGAAGATAATTTATATTTGACTGTATGAGCAAACATATACTCATTTTCAATGTTGACAAAAGTTAATTCTTCCATTAGACACTAAACTCTAGTGAGATTAGTTTTCAGAGGCTATGAATTAGAAATTATTTCAATGGTTTGTTAGTCTTACTTCTTGAACTCCATTGTAGATATTTTCTTGTAAATTTTTCATCTACAGAGAGAACTCTAGTTTGGTGAATTTTCCTGATAGGTCACATTCTTTTTTTTTTTTTTTTTTTTTTTTTTTTGAGATGGTGTCTCACTCTGTTGCCCAGGCTGGAATTCAGGGTGATCTCGGCTCACTCCGACCCCTGCCTTCTATGTTCAGGTGATTCTCCTGCCTCAGCCTCCCATGGATCTGGGATTACAGGCGCCCACCACCAAGCCTGGCTAATTTTTGTAATTTTAGTAGAGATGGGGTTTCACCATGTTGGCCAGGCATATCCTAGAGCTCCTGACCTCAGGTGATCTGCCGGCCTTGGTCTCTGAATGTGCTGAGATTACAGGTGCTAGCCATCCCACCTGGCCTACATTCTTTATTAACAATAAAGTATTCCCTCATTCATTCAACAAACACTTGGTGCTTACTGTGGGCTAGGAACTGCATTGGACATTTGCTGGTAATGTGATGATGAATAAGCTGTGGTCTCCCTTTTAAGAAGATATGCTCACTTGGGCTCAAATTCTGGGCTGTCTCTTTGGCTTTGATGCTTATTTAGCTATGTTAGCTGGGGCAAATTGAATAACTTGTCTCTGAGCCACAGTTCCTTGTATATAAAATGTGGATGTGAGAGAAGTTATAGGAAGACACCTTCTAATCTGATAATGCACCTTAGAAGTGACAGACTTTTCTTGTTTTTCTTTGCCTATTAACCAGAATTTTGTTTTCTCACCTGTGGGTCACTGGAGAAGGAAGCTCTGTTATAATCCATTTAGTGCTGCTGAACATAGTGATAATGGAAAAATAAACAGGTGTGCACTGGTTTTCTGGCCTGTAAACCAAAAAACAGTTTTCAGTGCCAAAAGCTGTGTTTGTCTTCCAAGGCTGAGAATGTTTCTGCAATGTAGGACAGCTTCAGATCCCACTGAACTTCTTGGGTAATCACATGATTTAGGTTTAGGTTCAGTTGTTTATCGGGCTAGCTTTGCTTACGGTGTTCTGTTTCTGGTGTAGTAAAATAATGTAGGCTGGCTAGAAGTGGTCTCTGGTCAGGACTATTATGAACTGAGCTTGTTCTTCCAGTTTGCAGGCCCTGGCTAATCAGAGAAGTGTACCTTTCCCCTAACTAGGCTCTGGAAAGACCTTCGAGCAAGGCCTGTGAACTGGGCCCTGGCTCATCCCCACCAGGTCCATTTGGAGTCAGTAGTTTCTAAACGGTGGCAGTGAGGGCTTTGCCCTGGCCCTCAGCATTCTCAGCTTTCTCTACCACTGTAGAGCCCGGTAGCTAAAATAATCTGCCTTGTTTTTCTTTCTCCTGAGGAAATTTTCTGGAATTTTTTTTTTTTTTTTTTGGTCTTTTCTTTTTAGAGACAGGGTCTCACTCTGTTGCTCAGGCTGGAGTACAGTGGCTCTTCACAGGCGCGATCCCACTACTAATCAGAATGGGAGTTTTGACCTGCTCTGTTTGCAGCCTGGGCCTGTTCACTTCTCCTTAGGCAACCTGGTGGTCCCTTGTTCCCAAGAGGTCACCATATTGATGCTGAACATAGTGCAGACTAAGCATAGTGCACTACAGCCCAGAACTGCTGGGCTTAAACGATCCTCCCACCTCAGTCTCCCAAGTAGCTGGTACTGCAGGCATGTGCCACCGTGCCCGGCAATTTTCTGGAATTTTAATTTTACCTTATCCATTCTTTTGAAAAAACGTGTCTTCAGACCTCATTTTTCTAATTGCCAGATAACCAGAACCCACATGCATAGGTCTAAAGAGCTCTACCCTGCAAGCTGAGGTTCAGAAAAGGAGCCGAGTGAGCAAATGGAGACATGATTGTTCTATTCTCCTGCCTAACACACCCTGTAACTCCCAGTTGCCAAATTCAGACTCCTTTCTTTGGTCTGTAAAGCCCAGCCTGATGGGTTCCTGCCCCCTCTCACGCTTCTTCCTGTGCCTCACACACTGAATGCCTTGAGCACTCACATTTCCATGGACTTGATAACCTCTGGACTTTTGATAGTGTGGTTTGTTGCCAGTACTCCATGAGAATTTCTTCCCAACTTAATCAGTGGAATTAACAACAACAACAAAGAAAACCTCGGTGAAAGTAGAGCACTAAGAAGGAAGTAGGCAACTGTTAAAAGAAGTGTTTTATATATGGAAAAGATGGCCTCTTTTTTTGTACATGCAGTATTTCATTACAGAAACAAGGCAAGACCAAGGGTAAAAGGTTTCAGCTGTCAAGGTCATGCCTACTTAGAGGATGGAGAGGTTCCTGTGTTCAGCTGTGGGACAGCTTTTGCCCTCCTGGCTGTTGCACTATGGTCTTGAGGACCCAGAGAATGGGAGGAAGTTGTAGAGAATGGACGGATATCCTAGTGACTGGATGAGCATGGTGGCTGATACTGCATATACTTGTTGAACTCCACGGGCGGTCTGAGGTTCTTGAAGTGGCTTCACCTTGTTGGGCACCTGAATAAATTGTCATTACAAATCAAAGATCTTCTGTATTTGATGGTGCACTGCTGAGTGTTGGATTATGAGATCACAACGTGAGTGTGGCACAAGCACACTTTCTATGATCAGCTCTGCACATTTCTAGCTGTGACATCTTAACTTATTAAACCCTGGGTCATTAACCTGGAAATACTAAGATTGGTGTAACAATAAAGCTGTCATGTATTGGCTGTTTACTGCATACCAGGCACTGTTCTACGTACTTTGTGCATGAGTTAAGTTAATCCTATGACAACCCGGGGGATTTGGGGTTACCTTAAAGGTTCACCTTTTCAAAATTCTACCTTTTTTTTTAATTTTAAAAGATGGAGTTCTTGCTGTGTTGCCCATGCTGGTCTTAAACTCTGGCCTCAAGTGATCCTCCAGCACTGGCTTTCCAAAGTGTTGGAATTAAAGGCATGAGCCACCATGCCCAACCTCAAACCATTCTCACTTCTGCTACCAGTAGTATGGGAGTTTCTCCCACACACATAAAGCAGCTGTTCAGTTCTCTGTGGATACCAGCTGGGTGCCCTCATGTTCAGTTTAATTCTGACACTGACTGGAATTAGTGCAGATCCTTCAGGCTAAGGACTTGGTCCCATGTGGCTGCCCCCTGCCAAGTTCAGATGCCAATTGCAAGTAGTAGGTCTTTAGGTTGCCCCCAATTTTTGTCCGACTTGGCTATGAATTGGAAGTTCTCATGGCCCCCTTCTTGGGATTCATGATTTTGCTAGACTGGCTCCCAGAACCCAGGAAAACAGTTTACTTTCTAGATTACCATTTTATTGTGAAGTATGTATTTATTAAAGGATAGAAATGAACAGTCAGATGATACACAGGGCTAGGTCTAGAAGGGTCCCAAGCACAGGAGCTTCAGTCACTGTAGGGTTAGGCACACCACCCTCTGGCATGTGGATGTGTTCTTGCTCACCAGCCCAGCTGCTCCCTGAACACATCCTTTTGTATTTTTATGGCGGCTTGATTACATAGACATGGTAGATTAAATCACTGGCCATTGGTGATCAGCTCAATCTTCAACCCATTTCCTGGGGAAAGCGGGGAAGGTATGCTGAAAATTCCAACCCTCTAATCCTATGGTTGCTTCCTATGGCAGCCAGCACTCCATCTTGTGGCTATCTGGGGGCTTTCCACAAATTGCCTCTTTGCATAAACTCTGGTGTTGTGGAAGGGGCTTTTTATGAATAACATAAGTCACTTTTTCATTTTTATTGGCCTGGAGCTGCCCCAGGCCTGTTTCAGGACAAAAGACCAAATAGTTTAACAAAAGAGCTGTGAGCAAGGAACTGTGGAGGAAGACCAAAATATGTATTTCTTATTATATCACAGCTATACTCTGATGTTTCTATATTTTTTATTTTACTTTTTTGAGTTTAGGAAATGTCATAAATATTTTTTGTCTCTTTTTTTTTTTCAGACAAGTTAACCTGATTATATTGGTCAGATTTATTTTGACTGCAAGTAACATAATCCAATCTAAACTAGCCGAGGCCAGAAGTGGAATTTGTGATCACCATGCTCTGGCTTACATAACCAGACCAAGGGAAGGACATGAGTATGCTGGCCTCTGGTACTAATGAAACCAGGACTCTTTCCATTTTTTCATCTCGTTGGTGCCGTCTTTGTTTCTGTGGGCTGCTTTTTGCTATTCAACAGGAAATAATGTCCATCAATAGCTCCTGTTCTCACATTTTATAGCTTCTTCAGTAGAGGGCTTCTTCCCTTAATTCCAGTTTGAAAATCCTGGAGAAAAACCAAGATGGGCCTGACTGGGAACACCTGCCCACCTCAGCAGCCAGTGGATGACCTCTGTGATGGGTAACAACTTTCTCAGAACTAGGTAGTTGGAATAAGGGGGAGCAGCCCTCAGAGGAAGTGAGGGTACTGGTTAGAACAATAGCTGTGCCTGCACTGGGGTTCAGCCCCAGCCCTGAAATGCTTTTCAGCTTAAGAATTAATACTACTTTTATATGTAATGATAGTTTTTATTCCTAATCTGACTCTAAGGTGGTTCGTATTCTGAATTGTCAGAGAACTTTTCCACTTATTCTATTTGCTAAGAGAAGAATAGGCAATTTGTAGGAAAATTTCAAACAAGGTTTGACAGAAAGGGCTTCCCAGTTGACCTTCTTCCTTACTTCGTGTAGCTTGCCTAAGAGATAGCTACCCTTCATTGCTCATCACTTCTCATTTTACCCTGTCCTTTATACTGACTACTCGTTCTCAATTCTGTTTTTGCATACCGGTTGTAAGGTATGCAAAAAACATCCTGTTTTTTGCTTTTTCTTTTTTAAAAAAAATTTTTTTTATCTCACAGTCTCTCTCTGTTGCCCAGGTTGGAGTGCAGTGGTGCAGTAAGGCTCATTGCAGCCTCAACCTCCTGGGCTCAGGCAATCCTTACACCTCAGCCTCCTGAGTAGCTGGGCCAACAGGTGGATACCACCACACCTTGCTAATCTCTAAATATTTTGTAAAAATGGGGAGTCTCACTTTGTTGCCCAGGCTGGTCTCGAACTTCTGAACTGAAGCAATTCTCCCACCTCAGCCTTCCAAAGTGTTGGGATTACAGACGTGTGCCATGGCGTCCAGTCTGCATCTTGTTCTTGTGTTTCTGTTTTATCAGCTAACCCTGTATCTTGGCCAAATCACCCAACTTTGTGGGTGATTTGTTATGACAGGCTGATTGCTGTAACAAACCAAAAAATATACTAAAGGCTCAACAACCCTGGTAGAAGTTTCCCAGTCATGTAAAATTTCAAATTGATGTTCTCAATCAGTGGAAGACTCTTCTCTAAGTAGTGATTCAGGGACTAAGGCTCCTTCTATCTGTGGCTCTTTTATCTTCAATATATGCTTGCCAAGGTCGCCATGCTTGTCTATATGGACAAGCTCCTAAAAGGGGAAGGAGCATGGAGGGTCATGGGTGAGAGGTTTTTAACAGCCAGGTCTGGAAGTGGTCCATGTCAGTTTGTTTACTTTCCATTGGCCACATGGCCACACTTTAACTTCACTGAAGGCTGGGAAATATGATCTAGCTGTGTGCCCAGGAATAAGAGGAACTGGGTTTGAATAGCCAGCTAGCCATGGTGGGCCCCAGCAACCTCCTTTCCCCATTTATTGGTTCAGTAATAGATACATAACCCAGGCCTAAGCTGAGCAGGACGTGGAATTCCTCTGGTCTCAGTTACTAGTTCAGGGGCAGGCATGTAATAGAAACTGTCCCAATCAGACTTTGGAGTGGTTGGGAGAAGATGTTACTCCCACTCCCCTCGCAACCCCCACAGTGAGGACAAAGCCAACTCCTGGGTGAGAACAGGTGTAGAGAATTGCAGACCCTCAGAGCTGAAGTCCTACCAAACCTTTCCTGAAGCTCACAAGAGCTGACCCTGGACTCTGAGTTAGCATGAGGTAGTAAATCCATTTTATCCCATAATACTCTAAGCTTAATTTTCTTGACTTGCAACCACAAGCCTCCTGGCTGACACAGCTAATAAAATGGAAGAGGAACCGGGAGAAAGGATAAAATCAGGATCTCTAAGTCCTGCTTCTGTTTATTGCTGTCATTTTTATGATATTTCTCTGAATACTTCAACACGATCAGATGGGGTATCCTAGTTTCACTTCTTCATTCCCTGGAATTAGAGTGGGGATAATTAGGGTTTTTTTTTTCTACCTCTTTGAACTGGATAAGAATTAGATTTTTAAATATTCTTTTTCTACCTGTAGACAATGATTTTTCTCTGGTTTGAATGATATATAGTTCTTTTGAAGAAGACATTATGACATTTTATTTATTTTCCACCAAAATGGATTCATAGGTACTGAATATAGTCCATATAATTTTTTTTCTTTTTTTGTTTTGTTGACTTTTCTAAAGTCTATCTTTTCATCCAGGAAGTATATAGAATTCTTTTATTCTTCACATTGCCAAATGCATTTGGTTTATACCTGGGTATTATTTCTATATTACTATAGGAAGTTTTTTTTTTTTAATCAGGATCTTGCTGTATCAGGGTCTTGCTGTTTCAGGGTCACCCAGAGGCATGATCACAACTTGAGCTCCTAGGTTCAAATGATCCTCCCACCTCAGCCCCCTGAGTAGCTGGGACTGCAGGCATGCACCACCACATCTGGTTAATGTTTTAATTTTTGTAGAGAAAAAGTCTCATTGTATTGCCTAGCCTGGCCTTGAACTCCTGGACTCAAGCAGTCTTTCTACCTGGTTCTCCAAAAGTGTTGGAATTACAACTGTGTGCCACTGTGCCCAGCTATTACTATAGGAACTTTTTATATTTTGAGTTAAATATTCCAAGCCATTTTAGAGTTTGAATAGCTTGTCAAATTTGTTGATTTTATGGCACCTCTGTCTTCACAAATATGCCCCGTGGTGTTCCTGAAAGAACATTTTGAGAGAATTATATGGTATTTAGTAAGGCCATGAAAAATAACTGGTATTTAGGGACTGTTGCTCAAGAAGCTAATTTGCACAACCAGGATTCATTAGCCCAGCGTATAGACACCTTGTACACCTGTGGTGACAAATGAAAACAGTGAAAATCCAGCCTGACTCATTCCGCTCAGAATATGGCGGGTAGGAGAGTAGGGACTACCTCAGCTTTAGGACTGCCCTCTCTCATTTTGTTTCAAAAAAGAGTTGAAGTAACTTAAAAAAATACATATAATAGATTAAAAAAAAAAACAGAAAGGAAATTAGGCCATGGGAACACAGCGAGAACTGACCAGTTAAGTCAGGAGCCAAGTCCGTATGTGAGAGCGCATGTCATAAGGGCATGCATGATTGCCATGGGGCTGGGTCACAGGCTCGCCTCTGAGCTTCCACAGCCTCACCAAATACGAAAAGAGTTCCAGAATTCTGCAGATTTAAAACTAGCAAGTGACTCAGGAGAAGTACAGTTTCTGAGTTCAGACCTAAAGAAATTACTCTCATGAGTCTTTTTAGAGGGACAAGGCTGTTAACAATGTTGCCATCATAAATGTGAATGTCCTTCAAATTGGTCTCTCAGAGCCTCTTTTCTTTCTGCCTGTGAGAGTATGATGATATACAGACCATTCCAAGCCCTTGAAAGTTGATTTCAAAAAATAATAAAAGAAAATAAAGATGGGTGTGGTGGCTCACGCCTGTAATTCCAGCACTTTGAGAGGCTGAGGCAGGTGGATCACTTGAGGTCAGGATCACCCTGGCCAATGTGGCGAAACCCCATCTTTATTAAAAAGCCAGGCATGGGGTTTCTTATACATAAATTAGCCAGGCGTGGTGGCTCACACCTGTAGTCCCTGCTACTCACCTGAGCCACCGCCATATTTCTGTAAGTGCATATTTGTGTAAGTTCATGGAAATGCATATTTCTGTTAAGTGCAAACTATCTTCTAACACCACTGTCTTAGAAGATAGTTTGCACTTAACAGAAATATACTAGAAACAACTAAAAGTTTCAGAAATAACATACCTAGTAAGTACTGAATACATTACACATTATCCAAGTAGGTTTATACGAGTGACTTAAGGCAACATAGCTTAATGCTTTCAGATAACAGCAAAAAAAGGAGTTGTGCCAGAAAAAACATTCCTTTTATCTGAGGATCAGCTCCACTTTGATTTTACTTCTGGGCTCTCCAGTCCTTCACTTTAATCTGACCTGTGACTTCCTTGTTAAAGGGTTGATGGTGTTGACATTGAGTTGGTGCCCTGAGGGGCAGCATGGGCCAGTGTTTGAGTTCATGTATGTGAAGTGTTTACTGTAGTGCCCAGTGAGGAAAACAGACCCTGACAGATAGTATCAATTATTGTTCGATTGTTATCATCATTAGCACATGCACACTTTTTCCCATTCATGTTCTGCTTATCTTATAGTCCTATTTGAAACTTAACCATAGAGCCTTACAGTTGTAATTACTTCCTAGTTCATAGCCTGCTTTTCACACACATCATTTATTTGAACCATATGAAAGAAGCAAGAGAAATGGTTTATTCCCATATCCGGGTAAGAGTGTTGGAGGGATTAAGTGACTTGCTGAGTTGTGTGTGGAGGGGGAGGAGAGCCTGAGTGTTTTGCACTCTTATCTGGTGCTTTATTCCATTGTCCCTTAATCTAAACGGCCCTGTTACAGAAGTTTCTGGTTTGGCCCTTTGCACATACACCCCTTTCTCTGCCCCTATTGAAGTGGGAGTGGGCCTGCTGCCCTCCTGGAGCCTCAGGAGAACATAGCAGAAAGCCCAGCAGAAGCTCATCTGGGCTTCAGAATTCTGAACTGCCACAATGAAGGGCAGGCTCCTGGGCTTTTTTCTGGGGAAAAAACCTGCAGGGCTTATGTTGAAGACCTTTGATTGTCCTCTTTTTCAAACTTACTTTCAATTAACTTGATGTTTTTTCTTTTTCAGTATGCAAATCCTGCGGTAGAAGCAACAATGGGCTATCAGTCAGGTGAATTACTAGGGAAAGAGTTAAGAGAAGTGTGTATAAATGAAAAAACGGCTGACTTGCTTGATACTAAAAATTCATGGGGTGAGACAGGGTGGAGACATGGTCCATCTCTGCCCACTTTGCGAAAATTAACAGAATCATCTATAACTTGCTATAGGCACTAGGGGAGCAGCAAGCTTAGTAGGGCCTTTGGGAACAAGAGGATCTTGTCTTTACATATAGTAACTTTGAAATGGTCAAGTAGAAATTAAAGTCTGTTTAGTCTCCCTCCACTCCTCACAGCACGTCCTTCATACATACTGCTACCTGCCCTTCAGCCACACTGCTCCATCTGCACAAGCAGTTTCCCCCCTCCTGGAAATGCGGTTTTCCTCCTCCTCATCTTGGCTGCAGCTACAAGACTCCATTTCATCTCCTTTCTGCTCCCACTCCCAGAGGAGAATCTGCCACTCCACCCCCCTCCTTCCCACCTCCCCCCACCCAGGCTTTTCCTGAACTTCAAAATTATTACCATAACTCTTAATTCTTTTCCCCACTGACCATCTCCTTTTGAGGACATGGACCATACCTTACCATTTTCACCTCCCTAATGCCTAGCTTAGGGCATCAAACATGGTGGGTGCCCAGTAAATGTTTGTTGAATGGAATAAAAGAGGGGAGAATGAAGGAAAAAATAACCCTATTCCCAGCCCAGGCTCATCAGGTGGCCATGTGGATATTACTCATCATGCAGCTCAGAGGAAGGAGACACACTTCCGGCTCCATGTGGTTGAGGAGAGGGGAAATGTGAAGGTGTGAACACTTGGAGAGGGTGCAGTGTCATGTCTCAGATGAAAGGAGCAGGTGTCATGGCCGTTCCAGAGACAGAAGGCATTGCAGTTGTGCTGATGCAGTGCATTCATGGGAAACAGTGAGAGATGAAAGGCAGGCTGCTGAAGGCTGACTGTGCCTATCCTTGAATGCCAGGAAGTTCTTTATCTCCGAGGTGCTGAAGGATTTTGAGCAGGGGAGCCACAGAATCAAAGTGGCTTATTTAGTAGAACTTTGGTTTGTGCACAGGAGGGTGCAGGTTTTTGGTGAAGCAGATGTGTATTTATTGAGCTTTTATACACATGCTGCTTCTAGCACATGCTAGGCACAGTACTGATCACCAAGGAAAGACAGGAAAAACTGTCCCTGCCCCCAGGTCATTCACGTTAGCAAGGAAGGAAAGACACCAAAGCACTGCTGTGGTCATGTGGAGAGGCTCTTTAAGGGGAAGTTTCCCAAAAGTTATGATACTCGAACTGCATCTTCAAAGAAGATCTGGGGTAAGCAGGTGCAGGTGAGGTAAGCAGGTGAGGCACATTCCCAAGTAAGTGGTATGTACCAAGTCATAGAAGTTTGGGAGGCAAACTAACAAATCATCAATAGTTCAAGGTGGCTGGAGAGAGGGGGACAGACCTCATAAGACTCTGGGTGCCACACTGAGGAGTTTGAATCTTACCCTAAAAACAAGGATGAGCTGTTGAAGTGTTTTGATTGAGAGATCTGGTTGGATTTTTGTTTTAGAACGATTGCTTAGCCGTCTGCAGAGAATAAGTTGAAGGGGGTAAGGTTGGTGTTTTGGAACTGATCTTGGAGGCTGTTATAATCCACAGAGGATGACAAGTGTCTGAGCTCAAACAGGGATAGAGCAGGGCATAGACTCGAGGTGTTTAGGAGGTGGAATTTTTAGATTTGGCTGACCCAGTGGAAGGAGAGGAGAAGGGAGAGGGAGAAGTGATGGATGACTTTTGTCTACCTTATGGTAGATGCTGTTCAGTGACCTGGGTTAAAGAACAGATTTGGGAAAAGAAAAAGTAAATGGTGGATAATCGATTCATTTGCAGTTCCTGAGGAGTATCCAAATGAGGTGGTAAGTGGTTAGTTAAGTCTGGAGCTCAGGAGAGAGTCCTGGGGTAAGATGGCAACATAGGAATTAGAGCTATAGGAAGGAATGAGATCTCCCAAGGAGGTTTTGTCGACTGAGAAGGGCTAAGGATAGAACCTTTGGAAAACTGGGGGTGCTGAGGAGGAGGAAATCATGGAAGAAACTAGAAAGGAATAGTAAGAGATGGAAAGAAAAACCATGAGAGTGTGGACTCTGCAAATAGGAGTGTCCAGAAAGGGATCAGTTGTGTCTAGTACCACAGTCAAGTCAGGTCAGGCAAGGATTGAGTTGTAGCCTTCAGACTTAGCAAAAAGGAGGTCATTGGTGACCTTGACATGTTCACTCTCAATGTCCACAGAGAAGCAGATGTAGTTTAATTGGACAGAGAAGCAAACAGCAGATGAAGAGGCTTCTTGACAGTGCAGAGGAAGTGCTAGGGGCCTGCATTCAGTTCCTGTCCATGAGCAGAGAGAGGTTTCGGGTGAGGATGCCAAGAGAAGATAGGGAAGCCACTCCATGGCTGTGGGAAGAGCTGAGTTCAGCACCCACCCTGCTGTGCACTCATCTGCAAAGCAGCTCCCCGTTTCCTCCTCTGTGAAATGGGGATGCATGGCACAGTCTGAGAGGCCCACGGCATTGTGCATGGTACATAAACACAAAAAGAGGCTGTTTGGCTTTGGCTTGCTAGATCGTTTCCTCTGTTTTCTCTCTATCCTGTGACATCAGAAATTCAGTCCATGGGGGCATATGTGCATCCTAGTGCCTAGAACTGAAGGAAACAGAATTGGTTATGCCAGAACCCCAGGCTTATTAGGATAGGAAGGAAGCTCAGCAAACTCGTAGTTCTATTCTGCTCCTTCATCATGCAGCTGAGCACAGTGAGCCCTCTGCCATCAAGACAGGTGCCCAGAGCTGTGCACACCCTGATTTGTGCATCCCTTTCTCCACAGTTTCCAACCAGAGACGACAACACTCTTCCATGGCCCGGACACGTTTCATCACAATTGAGGCATCCATCACCAAGGTGAAGCAGTTTGTGGTCTGTCTCCAGTGAGCACACATGCTCCTTGTTCTCCCCAAGGATTGTTTCCAATGAGAAGAAACAGGGACCTGCAGTAATGAGAATGCTCTCTTAGTTGTGTGGTGCTGCCTCCTCTGAAGAAAGAGGATATGTGACATGGACATATTAACGAGTCTCACATTAGTATTAAGTACTATGGCCAGACTGAGTCCTGTTGGGTTTTATTTCGTTGGTTTTGTGTTTGCTGTTATGTTTTTTAGAGATGGGCTTTCACTTCTGTTGCCCAGGCTGGTCTCAAACTCCTGGGCTCAAGTAATTCTCCCTCCTCAGCCTCCTGAGTAGCTGGGATTATAGGCATGCACCACCATCCCTGGCTCTCCCATTGTTTTTAAGGTTATGAAACTGAAGTATTTTCTTTCCATAATGTAGGCAATCAGTATGATCAACACTGTCCGGGAAAGCAGTCCCATGGCTGTGACAGAAGCCCTAGACCGTGTGCTGGAAATTCTAAGAACCACTGAACTATATGCACGACAGCTTCGTGTTAAGGATGATGATCCTCATGCCAGTGACCTTGTTGAGGGCTTAATGTCTGTAAGTATATTTGACTAGGCTCCTGGCTAGATCCTGTCTGCTCTTGGCTGTTTTCTCAGAGGTTATTCATTTAAACAGATCTTTTTGAAGAGGCAGCAGGGCACTATAGGGTTTAGTCAAGGCCTCAACTCTCCTTCATTGCCTGGGTTCTACTACTCTCTGGCCAAACACCCACCAGCTGCCTGCCTCCTAGGGAGAGCTCAGCTTGGAGCCGAGCACGGAAGAATGTAATCTTGACAGTCTGCTGAGCTATTCTCCAGTGTTGCTTAGGGCTGCTGCAGTAGTTTATCTAAGTAAAGCTTGTTTAGTTGTATTCAGGATCTTGAAAAGTGGCTCAGTGCAGAACAGAAAGAATGTCTTTCTTCCGCCATGTGTATTTAAAATGATGCCTGGGTGTCCAACAGTTTGGACTGTAAAGCATCCCACACACATTTGGTTGACTGTAGGAAAGAGGGGTTTGGGTATCTTTCACTAGAAAGGGGCTTTGTGCCATAGACTCTTGAGGTGCCCTGGATGCCTCCTTCAACATGTCTGGCATAGATCTCTCACTCAAGAGTGACAACTTTGTGCAGCATAGATTATTCCATTGCTCTGTTAGCTTTTGTCTTGGTCAGAAGCAAATTCTTCCTCCCAATTCCTGCTTTCTGAAGTCACTGGATTTTATAAAAGTAAGGTTCCAGGCAGAAATCTAGAAGGTATAGTGGTTTCCAATGTTGATAATTTCTAACTGTGGTCTTGCCTGTTTGAGACAGAGTCTTCTTCAGACTGTAGGTGAGAGGGGAAAATGTTGAGGGATGCAGTGGGATAGTGTCCTGGAGGTGAGTGGATGAGAATAGCCATGGGACTGGAGAAGAGGGGGCTGCTGAGAGTCCAGGGTTGGGCAAGGTGGTCTGGGAGCAGTGGTGAGGAGCCCAGGAGTGTCAGCTGGGGGGAATGAGGTCATTTAGAAGGTGAGAGAGGATCCAATGTTCCCAGGAAAGCCTTGTGTCCTCAGAGTGAGCAGGGTGGCAGGAAAATGGAAAAGAACAGAAGGCAGAGCAGAGTTGTCCCTAAGAAACCAAATGGTCCTGGAATGCAGGCAAGAATGCTGGGCTTGAGGACCACCTGCCCTGCAAAAGATGCAAGCTCGAGCCAGGTGCAGTGGCTCACATTTGTAATCCCAGCACTTTGGGAGGCTGAGACAGGTGGATCACCTGAAATCAGGGGTTCAAGACCTGCCTGACCAATATGGTAAAACCTTATCTTTAAAAAAAAAGAGAGATGCAAGCTCACCTCTCGGGTGTTGACCCTGTGCCTGAATTTGGCTTCCAGCAGGGCCAGGTCTGTCCTTCCCAGTAGTAGCCTATTGTGCTCTCCAGTAAGTGACTGAGGTCAGCGGTTGACCATAGTGATCACAGGGGTAGACTGCTGGGCCCAGGGCAGCCTTGAGTGGATTGATTGAGAGGGCTGCCCTGAGCTTTCCTCTGGGAAGACCACCTGGAGTTTCCAGGAAGGAAAGAATAGTTGTGACTTTTTCTTGTTTTCTTGATTTTTATCAGGATGGTTTACGAAGACCATCAGGGAATGAATATGTTCCTTCAACAAAAAGTAAGTTTTTCCTTTTTAATTTTTTAGATCACGGTGTATAATATTGCAGTCTAGCTTAAGTGATGAAATTAGTTTTTCAGATAAAAGTTTTTAAATAATTTTTCACCTCATTAAAAGTGTGTTGGTATGTCATAAAGCCTCAGAAACAAAGCAACTGTCTCTGAGGCAGCACTGTCTTCCCTAAGAAATTGTTAATCCTGGCTGGACGCGGTGGCTCACGCCTGTAATCACAACACTTTGGGAGGCCGAGGCAGGTGGATCACCAGGTCACGAACTCAAGGTCAACCTGGCCAACATGGTGAATTCCCGTCTCTACTAAAAATACAAAAATTAGCTGGGCACGATGGCACGTGCCTGTAGTCCCCACTACTTGGGAGGCTGAGGCAGGAGAATCACTTGAACCTGGGAGGTGAAGGTTGCAATGAACCGAGATCACACCACTGCACTCCAGCCTAGGCAACAAAATGAGACTCCATCTCCAAAAAAAAAGAAAAACAAATTAATCCTCTAAAGCCTATTAATTTTGTTCTCCAAATCACATCACTTTACAGACATTCAAATGGTTTCAGGGACTGTAACTCCCATCTCCCTGGATGATGTCCCACCACGGATAGCTCAGGCAGTGGCCAACGTGGAATCCTGGGACTTTGACATTTTTGAATTGGAGGCTGCCACCCACAATAGGTAAGTTCATGCAGAGCTCAGCAGGGGGAGAACTAGATTCCCAGGGCCTGTGTGAGGAGGCTGCCTAAGGATTGTGGATTTTGCATAGAGCTGGTCCCTGGGCAGGGAGGGGCTCTCAGGAAGGAGGGGTCAGGCAGCAGATGGCTCTGGGTCACCAGGGCCTGGGGGAGAGTGTGCTGACCACAGTAATGGCACATTCATGGAAAGCATGCAACTATGCCAGTGACTTCTCCAAGTAGCACAGGACTTTTTTCTGTGAAATAAAAGTATTTCTCCTGTAGGTGGTAATACGTAAGAGATCTGCTCAGAGCCTAGAACCAAAATTTATTAGAAACACATACAGATGTGATAAGAGCTTTCCCCAGATCCTGATTGCTGTGTTGCGGATAGGCATAGGGACACCCAAAGCCCCAGTCATGCGTATCTGGGTTTGATCACAGAGAGTGGGAGCAGGAATGGTGTTTTGTCTTGAGTTTTGTCCCTTGCCAGAGAAGAGCTGTTAACCAAAGGTTGGCAGTTTGCTGGGCACATAAGAAAGGGAGGTATACAGAGCTGATTCCAACCAGGACTGCCCCCAAGGGTGTCTTGGGAGAAGTGTGCTCTGTTGGGCCATGGAATGGCTCCTCAGGTCTCATCTCAGTCTGGATGACCTGTCCCCTAAATAGCCCCTTGACTTTTTCAGGCTCACCTTGAGTTAACCTGATACATTCTACTTCCCCATCTCCCAGCACAGCCAAGGAGAGTGGAAAAGAATACTCCCTTGGCATATGAATCTTTGAACACCTGGTTAGTATCCTAATGATGTTATATCCATGTGAATCAGGCTACGGCAGGTCAGTTTAAGTTCTGTTATCACCTCTGGATACTGCCTCAACACAGCTAGTTTCTTGGCCTTCAAAGGCAAGGGCCAGGTGCTTGGTCAAGGTGATTTCTTAAGTAAGAACCTAACTTGGTGACCAGATGGTCACCTTTGGGAAAATCCCCTCTTAATGTAATTTCCACCTCCAGATTATTGAAAAAAATTTATGGCATACGGAAGTGACTGGCTCATATGACGTTTTGAGGAAATGTTTTCTTATAGGCAGGATGTCTTGCCAATGACATCAGTCCAGCAAGTCCAAAGGAGAGGATAGTGTTCAAGGTGGCACAAGCTTAGCCTTGAAAAAGGATTATTTGGAGAAATCCAGGAGTGCAAGTAGAAAGCTGAACCTGGAAAGACAAAGCAAGCAAACTCCCCCAGGCAAACCAGGAATCCCAACCAGGCTGAGGCAAGAGCTGCTGCTGTGGGGGACAGCCCGCTCTCACCCATGCATCTTGGTCCCCTGAGGGCAAGAAGTGAAACCAGAATTGGTCGGCCCCCACAGAAAGAGGCCAGCGCAGCCCAAGCAGTCGCCACTTTGCTGCCCTGCACTCCCTGAAATTTGGCTTGGAACTTATTCAGGCCTCAAACACTTGGCCTGTTTGTTTGCTTTGTTCTAACATTGTGGGTGTTTTTCTCTCTATAGGCCTTTGATATATCTGGGTCTCCACATCTTCGTTCGATTTGAAATCTGTGAGTTCTTACGCTGCTCCGAGTCAACGCTAAGTTCGTGGTTAGGAATTATTGAAGCGAATTATCATTCTTCCAATCCCTACCACAATTCTACGCATGCTGCAGATGTGCTTCATGCCACTGCCTATTTTCTCTCCAAGGAGAGGATAACGGTGAGCTGTGTTTACACACTATGTTTAATGGGCAGGAGCAGTGGGGAGAGCCTAATGCTCCTGCCTCCATCGAGTTACACAGCATGACTGCTCATGTGCGCATCCTTGCACAGGAAGGGTGAGGCCACACGAGGAATCAGGCAGGAAGCCACACTGTAACTTTGGGAAATTGATGTGTTAATTCGTGACAAAAGCCTTGCCATTCCATGAGGGTACAAGAGGCAGGATTTGGTTTTGGAGGAGAAACCCAACAAGAAAAGGATTATGGATCTGCTTCTGGGGGTTTCACTCCAAGCCTGTGCACTAGTAGAGCCAAATAACTGTTAGATGTCCCTACTTTAGGGCCTCCATCTGTACGTCAAAGTCTGCAGGGGTTAAAGGCCAAGTTCATCATCTCTGTTCCCAGCACTGCTCCCACCCAGGGTTATCTACCTAATCCAGGGTTCTGTCATCCAACCAGATACCCAGGCTAGAAACTGAGAGTCATCCTTGGTTCTTTCAGCTCCTCAGCCCCCAACATCTGGTTTATCATCTGACCTTGCCTCCTGTCACACCTAAATGTTCTCAGATTTGTCTCCTCCTCATAATGCCCCTGCTGCTGTCCCAGTGAGGCCCCCTGCAATCCTCTCCTATCTGAGCAGTTCCCAACTAGAACTCCTACCTGTCCTGCCTCCTGTGGAATGCCCTCACACTACTGCCATTGCGATTCTGTCATTCCCAGATGATCCTTCCTGTCATCCCCAGGAGCAGCTTCCCACCTCTGTCAGGATTTAAACTTTAAACTCTACAGCTCTCCATGCTCACCTCAGCAATGAGCTCCTCTCAGCATTTCCTCTCCTGTGCCCCAGGAACTGGTCACTTTTGGACCATGCCAAACCACTTTCGTTTCTGAAACTTCTGCTCTTGACCTGCTGCTCCCTTGGCAGGGCCTAGATGACTGCAGCCATGTGAGGCCAGGGCAAGTGGCTTCTGGTCGAATTTCCTCCTCTCTATCACGGGACTTGCATTTGGCAGAGAGCAAAGTGGAAGATGACATCTGGCACACAGAGAGTGAACAAGTGTTCATTCCTCACCTTGCAGGGCAGTCCTTCTCAGAGCTTTCTCTGCTCCCTCTAGTTCTTACTGCTATCTTTTTTTTTTTTTTTTTTTTTTAGAAAAAAAATCAAGTGAGGCTGTAGGTAAAATATATGTTCAGAGAAAAGACTATTTTCTAAATTATGAAAGCAGATAACAGTGGGACAACTGTGTTAATATTGGCTCAGCATATAAATAACCTAATTTTGCTGTATTGCTTTTGAACTACTCTATAGACAACATGCAAACATATTTAGAGAGCTAACCAAACACAGTTTTTAAGAGCATTTGTTGAAATGTCACAGTGGCTCACACCTGTAATTCCAGCACTTTGGGAGACCAAGGCAAATGGATCAGGAGTTTGAGACTAGCCTAGCCAACATGGTTAAACACCGTCTCACCTAAAAACAGAAAAGATAGCTGGGCTTGGTAGTGCATGCCTCTGATCCCAGCTACTTGGGCAGCTGAGGCAGGAGAATCACTTGAACCCAGGAGGGTGGAAGTTGCAGTGAGCCACGATGACACCACTGCATTCTAGCTTGGGTGACAGAGCAAAACTCCATCTCAAAAAAAAAAAAGAGCATTTATTGAAATGTAATTCAATAATTTAAATTATTGAATTTTAATTTAAATCAATTTAAATAAATTTGCAAGGCTGATTTATTAACTATACATCTTCTTTTCAAGTGTCTGCAGGGTATTTACAAAAATGATCTTATACTGGAACATAATGTGTTGAACTTTGAAACTTCATAGGCTTTATTTTCTAACCACAACACAACAAAATAAAGTTTAATAACTCATGGTTAATTTAAAATGTTAGCTACAACAAATGAGAAAATATTCTGAATAATTTGGGGATCAACAAATAAATAAAACTAAAAATTGAATTAGTTAGAAAACAACAAAGTGAGAAATTCATCCATCAAAACTTACAGAATGAAGCCAATTGTATATTTAAAGGTTTATGTTTTAAAATGCCTTAATCACTTAGGTAAGGAAAAGAACATGGGAAGAGCAAAATGAAGAAAAATAAAGTCCAAGAAAATAGATAAAGTTCTAGCCAAACCAGTTAAAATATATAAAGACACAAAAATGTACACGTTTAAAGTAGAAATTGGTAGAAGAAAGTACCGCACACATAGGTACTAAATCAAAAGCTTTAAAATAGTTTTTAATGGAATGTTTTAAATTAAATTGATGTAAGGAAAAAAGGTCAATAACATGGAAGTAATTTTAGTAATTTTTAAATTACTGAATTTCTTCAAAAGTTGGCTCCTGACCCGGATAGACAGGTGAATTCTTTAGCTTTTTGAGGAATTTTTCCATGTTACATAAATCTTTCTAGAGCTTTGAAAAAGTTGGAAAACTTCCAGATCATTTTGTCAAACTCACAAAACTGACATCAACCTGACAAAGGTAGCACTAAAGGGGGGAAGAAAACTATACCAATTCCCAGTTAATGTTAAGTGGTGCCTATTTTAAATTTTATTTAAAATTATTTCTTTCCTTTATTACTATTAGTTTATGTTAGTCTAAGTCAATATCTCAAAGGACTTTTTTTGTGATGGGTTTAGAGAAAGACTTGCTGAGGAGGTGACTCCTATCTGTTGAAAACACCTGTATTTTGGTAAGTCCTTAACTTGTGTGAGACTAACAAACATTTGCAGAAATGTAACTGTTTTAGGGTGGAGGTAGGAAAACTAGATTTGCTCAGGTAGTATGCTTTTCTTAGAAATCTGAAATATTCTTACCTTAAAGTAGTAGGGGAGAAAGAAAACTATACAGAAGGCTTCCTTGCCTTCAATGTCATAACCCAGTTTTTGAAAGCTCTCTTCTTTTTCAGGAAACTTTCGATCAATTTGATAAGGTGGCTGCACTCATTGCAGCCACGATCCACGACATAGATCACCCTGGGAGAACCAACTCCTTTCTATGTAATTCTGGAAGTCAGTTGGCCATTTTGTATAATGACACATCTGTGCTAGAGAGCCACCATGCAGCCTTGGCCTTCCAACTGACCCTAGGAGATGATAAATACAACATATTTAAAAATATGGATCGGTAAGAACAATGATTGAGGATTGTGTTGATCCCTCTTTGTCTTTCTTAAACAGCTATATTGAGATGTAATTCACATATTACACAGTTCACCCATTTAAAGTGTACAGTGGGCCAGACATAGTGGCTCATGCCTATAAACCCAGCACTTTGGGAGGCTAAGACAGGAGAATCACTTCAGCCCAGGAGTTTGAGACCACCCTGGGCAACATAGGGAGACTATGTCTCTATAAAAAGGAAAAAAAATTAGCCAGGCTTGGTAATTGTATCTGTAGTCCTAGCTACTCAGGAGGCTGAGGTGGGAGGACCGCTTGAGCCAAGAGGCTGAGGTTGCAGTGAGCTGTGATCACACCAGTGCGTTCCAGCTTGAGCAACAGAGACCCTGTCTCAAAATAATGTGTACAGTGGTGTTTACTAAATTTATAGAGTTGTAAAACCATCACCACGATCAATTTTAGAATATCACCCCTTCGATAAAACCTCAAATTTATGAGCATTTTTTTTCTATTCTGCCTCAACTCCTTTTATCCTAGAGAACTACTGGTCTGCTTTCTGTTCATAGATTTGCCAGATCTGGACATTCTATGTAAATGGAATCATATGCAACATGTGATCTTTTGTGACTGGCTGCTTTCACTTAGCATGTTTTTAAGATTCAGCCCCTTTATGTCTTGATGTTTCAAGATGAAGTATAATGCTGATACCTTGAGCTCTCAGAGACTCAGAGCAGCAGTCATCTTACATCTCTCTCTGAAGCACTCCACTCCGCCCCTCTGTAGCCAGCATACAGAGGCTTGGCATTGTCTCTGTTTACGTGTCACTTTCTTGGGGAAGTCTTCCCTGATCTCTCATGCTAAGTTAAACCCTCTATTCAATCCCAGATTCCTTCATAGCACATATCACATTTCTTATTAAATAATGACTTTTTAATCATTTGCTTAATGTCTGATTAGATTCCTAAGCTCTGTAAGATCCCAAGGGTCATATGTCACCATGCCCTCAGCGCCTAGCACAGCGCTTGGTACATACTAGGATCTTAGTGAATATCAGTTGAAGAAGGAAAAAACATTGTATCATGAAGAATATTTACTCATTTGGAGTTTTAAAGAAGACAATTCTTGATTTTGTAAAACTCCCTTCTGCCATGTTCTAGGCTTTCAGAGATGGAGTTAAAGTAGTTTCCATTTATATTTGCATATAGCTACATCAGTTGTCAATGGAAAACTGCATCAGACCCTATTAACTTTCCAGGGAAAGTTTTCTACCCAACTGCAGAAAAGGGGTTGGGTAGAGGCTTTATTTCATATTTGTTTGTACCCCTTCAAATTTTGAATTATATGGATTATCCCTTCAAGAAATGAATTTTTAACGTACTAAAGTAAAAGCAAGGGTTAGAGTTAGACGTATCAAGTACTCCCTATGATTTTCTCAGCTATCAGAAGATCTGTTTTCACATTCTGTGGGCACTAGAATTGTTGGGTCTCAAGGTACCTTCATGTGCGGTGTATTCTTTATAACCACAGATCTCTATCTTCATTAAGAGAACTGGTATCACTCACCTTTCTTATATTCTTATTCAAAACTATATACATCATACTACAGAATGACAAGGTAAGCCCTGCAGCTATGAAGTTGTGCCTTTAGTTTTCGGTTTTAACTTCTGTTTGGGTTCTCCTTGCCAACAATCTAGGCAGTAACCCATAACTTCCACATCCTTTTAAAATGTGTCTTGTGACTTTGAGTGACATTAGACTTACAGCTTCAGAGGACACATAACCTGGATAACAGATTGTTTTCAGGAGTACCTGTCTGGTCCTGATCAGTAATCTGTAGCGGCCTCTAATTTGTCATTTGAAACAGGAATGACTATCGGACACTGCGCCAGGGGATTATTGACATGGTCCTAGCCACAGAAATGACAAATCACTCTGAGCATGTCAGCGAATTTGTCAACAGCATCAACACACCCTTGGCAACACTAGAAGAAAATGGGGTAAGGGAAACTTGCTGCAAAGAGAACCTGTGTTTGGGGTCCTTGTACCACTGGGTTGTGGAGACACATGGGCTGCGATAGCCACAGAAGGGTTCCCTCAGTGGGTGTATGAGGGCTCTCAGAGGGACAGAACTAATAGGATATATATGTGCGTATATATACATATACATACACACACGTATATATATATATATATATATATATATATATATATATACACACACACACATGCATACAAAGGGGAGTTTATTAAGTATTAACTAACACAATCACAAGGTCCCACAATAGGCTGTCTGCAAGCTGAGTAGCAAGGGGAGCCAGCCTGAGTCCCAAACTGAAGAACTTGAAGTCTGATGTTCGAGGGCAGAAAGCATCCAGTATGGGAGAAATGCAGGCTGGGAGGCTAGGTCCGTTTCTCCTTGTCAGGTTTTTCTGCCTTCTTTATATTTGATGGCAGCTGACCAGACTCTGCCCACCATCTTAATGGTGGATCTGCCATCCCCAGCCCACCAACTCAAATGTTAATCTCTTTTGGCAACACCCTCACAGACACACCCAGGATCAATACTTTGTGTCCTTCCATTTATTCAAGTTGACACTCAGTATCAACCATCTCAGTGGGCTCACTAAATTTAGTTTTTATTGGTTAAAACATTATTTAAAGTGCTAAAACTTGGCAGGAAAAGAATTGGCAAATTTAACTAGATGAGAAAACTCAAAAGGAAGATCAGATTTTAAATAAACTAACTTCAGACAGGTAGACTATTCCTGTCCTCTTTGCCATTCTGTGATCAGTTAGAGCCCTTGACATCTCTCTCTAGCCACTCCCACTGGGCATATACTATAGTAGCAGCAGCTATTCTCTCTTGGTCTACACTTAGACGACTGTGTCGATTGAGAAAGGCACTGTATTTGGGTCACAAGTGTGACATTATTGTTGCCCCCTTTCTACATTTGAGGCATGGAGTTCACAATAACTGCTGGGCAAGGATAACATTAACCCTCTCGCCAGGCAGGAGACTGCAGCTGAGGAAGCAGACAGGCTCGAGTTCCCACCCTATTTCTACTGTACCATTTGCTTATCTGTAGAATGGGAATAATAGGTGTAAAGGAATAGGAGTGATGAGCATGGTACAGGGTAGGCACTTAAGAACTGGAGCCTGTTATAGTAGATTGTGTCAGCAACTTAAAGAATATGTTCTTTCATAAACCCTCTTCCTCTGAGGCCCACATTTACTGACCATGTTGGCAGCATCTTAGTCTTCTCTACCACCCTCCTCCCCAGCTTCTATCACCATCCTGAGATAGTTCACACACAGGGATGACTCATCCTTGCAGACTAGACTTCTAACTCCATTTTACTTCTGCAACTCATTTGTTTGGCCGTGGCCTTTGTCTACCCCATGGCTTTCTAGCATATTACCCCTTGACATTTACTTCAGTTTAAGCTGATGTTGAGAACTCTGTTCCTTCACCCTTTCCTGTTCTCTCACTTTGTCAGCCTGCCCCGACTTCACTCTCTTTCCAAAGACTTTCAACACAGAGGTGCCTGTACCAGCCTCTTTTATTGGCTCCTGCCCTGCCATTCTGGATAGGGCCATTTGTCACCCAGTCACCACTCCTGGCTGACCCCATGCCTCAGAAGGAAATAACATGCCTCACAGACTTGGTTTCCTGCATCTAGTCTGGACAGCCCCTAGACTTAGCTGAGTTTTCTGCTCCACTTAACATTACGGTTCTCATCTCTGTTGTCAGTACGTGGGGTTACTTGTGAGAGACTGAAAATCAATATCCAGTGGGTCAGAGCAGGAGAAAGGAAGATGATAGAGAAGTTTCCAGACTGGCAGTACTAAACTATATTCACACTGCAGGTATTAACAGATCTGAAGAAAGAAGCATCAGCACAGAGCTAGTCAGCAGGGGAAACCTGGAGTGAGGAGGGCTATAGCACTGCTACAGTCATTTTGGCACTCCCCAGGACGCCTAGAGTCAGGTTGCCACCTGCCCATCTTGATGGTAGATCTGTTCCCTCTGAGCTGGGACCATCAGGCCTTCTGAGACCACTGTTGTTGCATATTGAAATGATATGACTAACTCCCTTGCAAGGTTGCTTGATGGACATGGAATCAGACTGAGGACACTCAATTTGCTCTGGTCTTTTCCATTGTTCTCTGCCCCAGTAGCCTCTAACCTGAGTTCTCTTCAGAGAGCCTATGAATAGAGGTTCTATTGTGTCATAAATTGATCCATAGCCAGTGGGGATCCTTGTGAGGCAGACAGCATGTAGTACTGTGAGTGGAAGGCAGCCTGGGACTAAAGGCAGAACTTAAGGTCTTATGCTGGCTCAGCTGGGTTGCTTTGGACAAGTCACTTCACCTCCCTGAGTCGCAGTGTCCTCATTTGTAAAATGTAATAAATACTTATTATGCTTACCATTAGATCTTCTCATGAGTGCAGATCAACAGAAAATGGCTGTTAAGTCTTTTATACATCAAAAATGTTAGGGCAGATTCCCAAGATCACACCTATCACAGGACTGGGTTGAGAAGTAAGGAGTCTGTTGGGCTCCATTTATTGTGATGGCAGAAAAATTTTTTTTTCAGCTCATACTTTTTAAAAATAAATATAATAAAAGATAAAACCAGTCTTTGAGTTCTTACCAAGGGAGTGGGGAGAGTGGAACAGAAAAAAAAGGCAACTGTGACAAAGGTTTAATGAGAGGAAGAGAAGAAAGAAGCAAAGAAAAGGGGAAGGGCAGATATACCAACCGCTGTTCTACCCTCCACTCCTAGGTCCTGTTGACATCTCACTGAGCCTTGGTTTTCTCCTGTGTAAAGTGAGAGGCCAAACTCAATGCTCATGGTATCCTTGGCAATGTTTTGTGAGAGCTTTAACTTATAGATCCTGACTAGTGCTTTTCTTGTGCTTACAGTGGGACCAGAGCAGTAAGAGAGGGCTTGGCACCTAGGGACCCATTTTGATTGCTTTGAATTCCACTCATGTTTTAGGACGCTGATAACAGAGAGGAAATCATACACGATTTTCTTAGGATTCCAGTGAACCGGACTCTAATTAAACGAATGCTGATTAAATGTGCTGATGTGTCCAATCCCTGCCGACCCCTGCAGTACTGCATCGAGTGGGCTGCACGCATTTCAGAAGAATATTTTTCTCAGGTAAGATGCTGCCTCTCTTAAGTTTCTAGAGAGAGAAAGAGATTAAAACCATAAGAGATAATGGACTTAACACTAGGAAATAGGGTTCTAAACAAAATCCTGTCCTTGTATTGCATGTTTACTGGTAATGAATTTTTTTTCTTCTCTCAGAATATGTTTATTTTCCCTTTATTCTTGCAGGATATTTTTGCTAGATATAGCATCCTGGGTTGATGATTTTTTTTTCCTGAAAGTACTTTAAAGGAGCCTGGTCTTATCTGGTCTTCATATTTTTTCTGAGTAAGAAAAAACCTTTCTTGGGGCAGAACAATATACTAGGAAATATACTGGCTAAGATCTTTCCAGATTTGGTAGAGGGCATATGCATGTGTATACAAAGCCCAGTGAACTTTAACCCTTGTCAGATTTGTCATAGTCAAGTAGCTAACAAGCTAAAGATAAATCTTGAAATCAGTTAGAGTAAAAGCAACACATTACTTAAAAAGAAAACAGTGATTCTCTGTTCTCTGACTTCCCATCAGAAGCTATGAAGGCCAGAAAACACGGTAACATCTTTAAAGTGCTGTTAGTTTTAGGACCCAAGGTAGGAGGATCACTTGAGCCCAGGAATCTAAGAGCAGCCTGGGCAACATAGTGAGACATTTGTCTCTACAAAAAATTTAAATATTAGCCGGGCATAATGATGCACTCCTATAGACCCAGCTACTTGAGAGGCTGAGGCAGGAGGATCTCTCAAAGCCCAGGAGGTTGAGGCTGCAGTGAGCCATGATTGTGTCCCTGCACTCCAACCTTGGCCACAAAGTGAGGCCCTTCCTCAAAGAAAACATACAGCTACCATTATATTTAACGGTGTGAGATATTGAATACATTCTTAAGATTGGAAAGAAGGTAAGGGTGCCCATTCTTACGTCTTCGGTTCAACATTGTATCAGTGGTCCTCATCATTACAACAGGCAAGGGAGAAAAAGGTTTAAAGAACAAAAAGTAAGACAGTGACTTGAGGAAGCCCCGTGCAAGTGCTGCAGCTGGTTCTGTAGAGGTGTGGTAGGGGTAGAGAGATGCTGGGATGAGAGAACTTCCTGGCCTGGCACAGCATTCCCTGGAAGGCCTATGAATGCAAGCTTGGGAATATTCTTGGCCAGGCGCTGCGGCCATGGTGAGGCCCTGTGGAGTAAGGGCTAAGGGGAGGAGCTGCGAGTGGGTTCTGCCACTCGCCAGAAGCCTGGCTGTGATGGGGTGAGCTCTGCTGGCCATTTAGGAGGTGGAAGTACAGCTCTGAGTGTAGAAGACACATCTTGTGAGTGGCCAACAGTGGGATGAGACTTTAGTGGTCATTCTTCTGTGTGCTCAGCCAGCCTTCTCCCATCGTTCTTGCCACACCTGGCCCAACACCTCAGGCTCTCCCAGAGTGACCCCAGAGGGTTGCCTCCACCCCTTCCAGCCCCAGCATTGGGGAGAAAGGGTTGTGTTCAGCACAGCAGTGACCATCCTTTCACCTGGCTTCACACATGTACTAGGGTCCCATCTAGAAGAGCTATTCCCCGCAGCCCACTCCCACCTCACTCCACCTGTGTCCGCCCTGCTTCTCATCCTGACCTGACGCCCAGCACAGGTACCCTGGCCCAGCAGGCGGGGACCTTGTGGGGCTTCCAGTTGCACATGCACAGGGGCCTCTAGAAAATGCCTGCATGACTCCAGTTTCATTCCATTGCCTCATTACTGCCCCAGGGGCCTGGCCTCACCTTTTCTCCCGCACCATTCGGGCAATATGAGACCTTCTCAAAGAAAGAACAGGACGCCTGTCTTTTTCCTCAGGTTCTTAATTACGTTTTTAATGCTTTGCAAGGCTCTCTGGAACCCTGAAGAGACAGATGATCTGACTACAGTATATAAAAACTCTCCTTAGAGGTTTTTTTTTTTAACTTCCAGGATCTCAAGGGTGTTCAGAACCTTTTCAGATAAATAATTCAGCCTTAGATGAGAAGCAGCCACCAGGCCTTTCCTGTGAAGTGGGGGCTGTGTTTCTCTCTCATCATTGTGGCCCCTGTGTCGGCTTCAAGCCGGGTACAAGGATGGCTGGACTGCGATAGCAGTGAGAAAAGAAAGGATCTTTTTCTCTGAGGAATGTGAGCCCCTTTTAGTTGTGAGGCCCAGAGAGGCAGTGAAATGTGACAGCAGTTACATTTCACTCCCCACCTTGACATAAGTAATCGCCTGCTCTGTGGACTCTAGGCCAGGAGCCATAAGTTAACCTAACAATGCCACAGCTCACACCCTATCATTCAGCAGCATATAGCCAATTACTAATTAGTGTTCCTTCAGTAAACCAGTACAATAAAAATTCCTAAAACCTGTAGCATCTCCTTTATTCTCCAGAACAATGTTTCCTGAGCAGCTGGCCTCAACTTCACCCAAATAAACTCTATGAATTTTGACTCAGTTTCTTTAGGTCAGTAGGAACGACAGTGGTGGCTGACTACACTTGCTGTTGGGACCTCACCTGAGGAGCTTCTGTAGGGCAGCTTTACAATATTCAAAGTTTGGCTTCAGTCGGGGTGTCCTCAGACCCCCCTGACATGGAGTGGTCCACATTCTGAGAACAACTGGGTATCTGCTATGAAACATGGTTTGGCTGAGTGGGGTGGCAATTGGCTTCTCCCCACAAGCCACCTTAGGCTGCCAGCAGAAGTGCTCCCTGGGGGAGGGGCTGCCCCTAGGTGGAGTGGATCCAGATGCTGGGGCCTCCTGATCATGACGTTTTCTGCTTTGCAGACTGATGAGGAGAAGCAGAAGAACTTGGCTGTAACATTACCGGTTTTTGATAGAAAAACCTGCAGCATCCCCAGTTGCCAAGTCTTTTTTATTGAATTTATCAAACCCATGTTTGATGCTTGGAATGGTAAGAAATCTTCCTTAAAATAGCGTATTTTCCTTTAACTGATAGGGAACTGCATCTGAAACAACAGGGTGCATTTGACTCCAGAATATTATTTGGGGTTTTGGCTTTCGAGAACGAGAGAAGTGAACCATCACTGAGGGCCCCTGAGGGTCGGATGTTCTTTCTTAACACTCCTGGCAGGCACAGGTGTCGTTACACCTGTTTTATAGATGAGGGGATTGAACTGGGGGCTCCACAGCTTGTAGTAGAGCAGCCAAGGTTCAAAAGCAATAGTGCTGGCTCCAGAATCCATGCTGTTTCTACACCAGTTCTTTGCCTTCCACTGTCCCCTACTTCTCCCAGCCTCACTCTACACAAGACCAGAAGGACTGGTCTGTCTCTGACCATGTCACCCTTTTTTAACTTCAGGTGGGGCACAGGAGCCTGTCAAACCAGAGAACAGGATCCACTGATATTCCATGGGCATCTTCACTCTGAGGGCTGCAACCTGGGGGAGGGGCTACAGGGCTGATAAATGTCCAGATCCAGTCAGGAAATAAACCTGAGTCTCAAAGAGGCCGTAGAACTGCAGCATGTGGCTAGGGAGAAGGACTGAAGCAGTGGAGATAGCTTCAGCTTTGGGGGAAACTGCCAGCTCTGCAGCTCACGGCTTCTGAGACTGAAACCAGATGCCTGCGGCTCCAGGCTGCAGGTAGAAGGGGATGCTGGTGTATGTGAAGCACACACAAAGCGAGAGTGAGCACACAAGGGCCAGGCCATATGGTGGGGGGCACACGACATTTTGCTTTCTGATACCGCAGGCCCAGAGGTGCTGGTTGAATGGCAGGTAAGCAGATTAGCCACCTTCTGTTGTATTGGCCAAAGTTACCAGCTCAGCTGGTGGCCATGGAGGAGGTGCTGGCATTGAGGACAGGGTCTTAACTTCAGTCAGCCATGTCTTGATGCTGTGTGTGTTTGCCCGGGTCTGTTTAGCCTCACAGAGATGCCTGCTCCTATCTGTCACTCTTTAAAAGGCTCTCAGCAGAAAGCTAAACCCATAAAGCGAGGTTGTAAAAGGATATCACATTCCCATCTTTCTCTCCAGCCTTTGTAGACCTGCCAAATTTAATTCGGCATCTGGAGCACAACCTACAGTATTGGAATGGACTGAAGTAAATGAAGCAGTGGGGCCTTTGACCAACCGAATAGTGGGAGACACCACCCAGAGCCCAGAAGCTTCGTTCCTTCTCTCATTTGAGGACAGCCAGCATTCTTGGTCCTTCAGTATCAGGCAGAACATCCCCCTGATCTGCATAGCCTGTGAAAGCACACAGGGACATCAAAACCTTCTCTGGCCACCATCCGATGCCATTACTGTCAAGCAAGACTTGGCCACCATAGCCTGGCCTGCTTCATGAACTCTTCAGAAAGGCATGTGAGAACCATGGATGGCATCGCTTCTGTTAAAAAACAAGGTCTGGAGTGCCCCTGCAAAGGGTATTGATGGATTTACTGCCAGTGACAGAGCATGTCCATTACAATCTGTTTCTGTCAGTATGTTCAGCACTTAGGAACGGCTAATGGCAATTGGATCTTCAGCAGCTTTTTCACATACAAGGTGCAGTCACTCACTTTGGAACACTACTGAGAGTGACTTCTCTTTTAAAATTGAGTAGCAGGGGGAAAAAGAAAATGGCGTGGTAGAAGCAACTCAGGATTTCAGCTCTCAGTGAAGCCGCAGAGGGTGAGTCCAAGGCGCATTTCCAGATGGATTTTTGTGGCCCACAGAACGGGGAAGTTCCCAGGTGTAGGAGAGACATGGGACACCAGCACAGCTGTATTGGTTGGCGTGGCCGTTTTGGCCGGCGCTGCAGTGCAGCGGCACTTCCCACAATACGCACTGGTCTGGGTGCCCTGTTAAACCGGCAATCAGAGATTTGGTAGGGCAGATTAGCATATCCACCTGATTAAACGGGACTTGGACAGTGAGCCAGACCAGGAGATTCCTAGGAAGCAACCTTTGAGCCGGCACAGTGGGTCGCTGCACGGGAGATCACAGAGATCCCAGTGCCCTACCAGCAGGCAACTGAAACACCTGGGAGAGAGTCAACCGTTCAACTTAAAAAAAAAAAAAAAAAAAAAACGGGGCTCAGAGGCAGGGAGCCAGGTGATCAGGCTCGGCGGGTCCCACCCCCACAGAGACAAAGAAAATGGCGACTCAAAATGCTCAGGGTTGAGAGTTTCACTGCGGGCACAGCTGAACTGAGGACGGTGCAGCTTGGTGGGGGAGGGGTGTCTGCCATTACCGAGGCATTCCACCCCTACTGAGGTACACTCCCATTGCTGATGCAGCCTGCCGTTGCTGAGGCAACCCGCCATAACAGAGAGACTCGGCCACAGGGTGGAGCCCACGGCAGCAGGGCAGAGCCCATGAGAACAGGGCAGACCCCACGGCAGCAGGGCAGAGCCTTGCCAGGCAAATAGTGACTAGACTGCCTCCTAGCTGGGCAGGACAGTGAAACGAATACTCATTAAAAAAAGCCCTAACTCCCCGAGACAGAGCATCTGAGAAAAAAAGGGGGTTTATGAGTTCTGCTGCAGCAGACTTAAACGCACCTGCCTAATAGCCCTGAATGAACAACGGAGCACACAGCTCAACACTTGAGCTCCTATAAAGTACAGATCATCTCCTCAAGCAGCTCCCTGACCCCTGTATATCCAAAGAGTCACCTCAAAAAGGACTGATCAGACTGACATTAGGTGGGCATCATTCTGGGACAAAACAGAAGAAACTGGTAGCATTTCTCACTGTTCCACAGCTGCTACAGATATACCCCAGACAAGCAGGGCCTGGAGTAGACCTCAGCAGTCATACAGCAGAGGGGCTAGACTGGTAGAAGGAAAACTAAGTAAAAGGAATACTTCATCATCGACAACCAGGGTGTCCACTCAGAGACCCAATCAAACAATCAGTGCATGGAAAGAAACCAGCGCAAAAAGGAGGAAAACACCCGAAACCAAAACTCCTCACATACTACAAAGGACCGAAACTCCTCACCAGCAAGGGAACAAAGCTGGACAGAGAATGAGTCTGACAAAATGATGGAATCAGACTTCAGAAGGTGGGTAATGAGAAACTTCTGTGAGCTAAAAGAACATGTTCTAAATCAATGCAAAGAAACTAAGAACTTTGAAAAAACATTTGAAGAAAGATTCTAGGAAACGATAACAAGAATGGACAACTTAGGAATATGAATGAATTGAAGGAGCTGATAAACAACACGAGAACTTCATGAAGCATGCACAAGTTTCAATAGCCGAATTGACCAAGCAGAAGAAAGAATATCAGAAGTCGAAGATCAACTCAATGAAATAAAATGAGAAACCAAGATTAGAGAAAAAAAGCGCAAAAAGGAATGAACAAAGTCTCCAGGAAATGTGGGACTATGTGAAGAGACCTAATCTATGTCTGATAGGTGTACCAGAATGTGACGAAGAGAATGAATCCAAGCTGGAAAATACTCTTCAGGAAAATTTCCCCAACCTAGCATGGCAAGCCAGTATTCTAGTCCAGGAAATACAGAGAACTACAAAGATATTCCACAAGAAGAGCAACCCCGAGGCACATAATCGTCAGATTCACCAGGGTTGAAATGAAGGAGAAAATACTAAGTGCAGCCAGAGAGAAAGGTTGGGTCATCCACAAAGGGAAGCCCATCAAACTCACAGCAGATCTCTCAGCAGAAACTCTACAAGCCAGAAGAGAGTGGGGGCCAATATTCAACATCCTTAAAGAAAAGAACTTTCAACCCAGAATTTCATATCCAGCCAAACTGAGCTTCATAAATGAAGGAAAAATAAAATCATTTGCAAACAAGCAAGTACTCACCACCAGGCCCGCTTTACAAGAGCTCCTGAAAGAGGCACTACACATAGAAAGGAACAACCAGTACCAGCCATTCCAAAAACATACCAAATGCTAAAGAGCATCAACAAAATGAAGAATCTGCTTCAACTAATGAGCAAAACAGCCAGCTAGCATCAAAATGGCAAAATCAAATTCACACATAACAACATTAATCCTAAATGTAAATGGGCTAAATGCACTGATCAAAAGACACAGACTGGCAAATTGGATAAAAAACCAAAACCCATTGGTGTGCTGTATCCAGGAAACCCATCTCACATGCAAGGATACACAAAGGCTCAAAATAAAGGGATGGATGAAGATTTACCAAAAAAATGGAGAGTAAAAAAAAGCAGGAGTTGCAATTCTCATCTCTGATAAAATAGACTTTAAAGCAACAAAGATCAAAAGAGACAAAGAAAGTCATTACATAATGGTAAAACGATTGATACAACAAGAAGAGCTACCAATCCTAAATATATATGGACCCAATACAGGAGGACCCAGATATATAAGGCAAGTTCTTAATGACTTACAAAGAGACTTAGACTCCCACACAATAATAGTGGGAGACTTTAACACTCCACTGTCAATATTAGACAGATCAACCAGACAGAAAATCAACAAGGATATCCAGGGCTTGAACTCAGACCTGGAACAAGCAAACTTGATAGACATTTACAGAACTCTCCACCCCAAATCCACAGAATATACATTCTTCTCAGCACCACATCATGCCTACTCTAAAATTACCACATTATTGGAAGTAAAGTACTTCTCAGCAAATGCAAAACAACTGGCATAATAACAAACAGTCTCTCAGACCATAGTGCAATCAAGTTAGAACTCAGAATTCAGAAACTAACTCAGAATCGCACAGCTTCATGGAAACTGAACAACTGGCACTTGAATGTTGACTGGATAAACAATGAAATGAAGGCAGAAATAAAGAAGTTCTTCGAAACCAATGAGAACGAAGACACAACATACCAGAATCTCTGGGACACATTTAAAGCAGTCTCCAGAGGAAAATATATAGCAATAAGTGCCCATATGATAAGAGTGGAGAGATCCAAAATTGACACCCTATCGTCAAAATTGAAAGAGCTAGAGGAGCAAGATCAAAAAAACTCAAAACCTAGCAGAAGACAAGAAATAACTAAGATCAGAGCAGAACTGAAGGAGATAGAGACACGAAAAACCCTTCAAAAAAAATCTGCAAATCCAAGAGCTGGTTTTTTGAAAAGATCCACAAAATAGACCACTCGCCAGATTGATAAAAAAGCAAAGCGAGAACAACCAAATAGATGCAATAAAAAACGATAAAGGGGAAATCACCACAGATTCCACAGAAATTCAAACTATCATCAGAGAATATTACAAACGACTCTATGCACATAAACTAGTAAACCTCGAAGAAATGGATACATTCCTGGACACCTGTGTCCTCCAAAGCCTAAACCAGGAGGAAGCCGAAACTATGAATAGACCAATAACAAGGTCTGAAGTTGAGGCAGCAATTAAGAGCCTACCACACAAAAAAAGCTTAGGTCCAGATGGGTTCACAGCCGAATTCTACCAGACACACAAGGAGGAGCTGGTACCATTCCTTCTGAAACTATTCCAAATAACCCAAAAAGAGGAAATCCTTCCCAAATCATTTTATGAGACCAACATCATCCTGATACCAAAACCCAGAAGAGACTTAACAAGAATAGAAAACTTCAGGCCACTATCCATGATGAACGTAGATGCAAAAATCTTCAATAAAATACTGGCAAGCCGATTGCAATAGCACATCAAAAGCTTACCCATCTTGATCAAGTAGGATTCATCCCGGGGATGCAAGGCTGGTTCAACATATGCAAGTCTAAAAACGTAATTCACCACATAAACAGAACCAAAAACAAAAACAACATGGTTATTTCAATTGACGCAGAGAAGGCCTTTGACAAAATTCAACAGTCCTTTATGCTAAAAATCCACAATAAACTCGGTATTGAGGGAACGTATCTCAAAGTAATAAAAGCTATTTATGACAAACCAACAGCCAATGCCATACTGAATGGGCAAAACCTGGAAGCATTCCCTTTGAAATCCGGCACTGGAAAAGGATGCCCTCTTTCACCACTCCTATTCAATATGGTACTGGAAGTTCTAGCCAGAGCAATCAGGCCAAAAGTAGAAATAAAGGGTATTCAAATAGGAAAGGTGGAAGCCAAATTGTCTCTATATGCAGACGACATGATGGTATACCTAGAAGACCCCATCGCCTCAGCCCAAAAACTCCTGAAACTGATAAGCAACTTCAGCAAAGTCTCAGGATATAAAATCAGTGTGCAAAAATCACAAGCATTCCTCTACACCAATAACAAACTTAAAGAGAGCCAAATCAAGAACAAACTGCCATTCACAATTGCTACAAAGAAAATAAATACCTAGGAATACAACTCACAAGGAAAGTAAGGGACCTCTTCAAGGAAAACTACAAACCACTGCTCAACGAAATCAGAGAGGACACAAACAGATGGAGAAACATTCCATGTTCATGGTTAGGAAGAATCAATATCGTGAAAATGGCTATACTGCCCAAAGTAATTTACAGAATCAACGCTATCCCCATCAAGCTATCATTGACTTTCTTCACAGAACTGGAAAAAACCACCATGAACTTTATATGGAACCAAAAGAGAGCCCGCATAGCCAAGTCAATTCTAAGCAAAAAGAACACAGCAGGAGGCATCACACTACCGGACTTCAAACTATACTACAAGGCTACAGTAATCAAAACAGCATGGTACTGGTACCAAAACAGAGATAGAGACCAATGGAACAGAACAGAGGCATCGGAGGCAACACAACATACCTACTGCCATACAATCTTTGATAAACCTGACAAAAACAGGCAATGGGGGAAGGATTCTCTTGTTAATAAATGGTGTTGTGAAAAATGGCTAGCCATGTGCAGAAAGCAGAAACTGGACCCCTTCCTGACACCTTACACTAAAATTAACTCCAGGTGGATTAAAGACTTAAACATAAGACCTGGCCCCATAAAAACCCTAGAAGAAAATCTAGGAAAAACCATTCAGGTTATAGGAGTAGGCAAGGACTTCATGACCAAAACACCAAAAGCATTGGCAACAAAAGCCAAAATAGACAAATGGGACCTAATCAAACTCCACAGCTTCTGCACGGCAAAAGAAACAGTCAAGAGAGTGAATTGGCAACCAACAGAATGGGAAAAAAATTTTGCAGTTTACCCATCTGACAAAGGGCTGCTATTCAGAATTTACAAAGAACTCAAACAGATTTACAGGAAAAAAACAAGCCCATTCAAAAATGGGCAAAGGATATGAACAGTTTACAAAAGATGACATACATGAGGTCAAGAAAAATATGAAAAAATGCTCATCATCACTGATCATTAGAGAGATGCAAATCAAAACCACATTGAGATACCATCTTACGCCAGTTAGAATGGCGATCATTAAAAAATCTTAAGACAACAGATGCTGGAGAGGATGTGGAGAAATAGGAACACTTTTACACTGTTGGGAGTGTAAATTAGTTCAACCATTGTGGAAGACAGTGTGGCAGTTTCTCAAGGCCTTAGAAATAGAAATTCCATTTGACCCAGCAATCCCATTACTGGGTATATATCCAAAGAACCATAAATTGTTCTACTATAAGGACACATGCACACGAATGTTCATTGCAGCACTGTTTACAATAGCAAAGACCTGGAACCAACCCAAATGCCCATCGATGATAGACTGGACTGGGAAAATGTGGCACATATACACCATGGAATATGCAGCAATCAAAAACGATGAGTTCGTGTCCTTTGTAGGGACATGGATGAATCTGAGAACCTCATTGTCAGCAAAGTGTCACAAGAACAGAAAATGAAATACCGCATATTCTCACTCATAGGCGAGTGATGAAAAATGAGAAGACATGGACACAGAGAGGGGAGTACTAAACACTGGGGTCTATTGGGGGAATAGGGGAGGGACAGAGTGGGGGAGGGAGCTGGGGAGGGATAGCCTGGGGAGAAATGCCAAATGTGGGTGAAGGGGAGGAAGGCAGCAAAACACACTGCCATGTGTGTACCTATGTAACTACCTTGTATGTCTGCACATGTACCCCAAAACCTAAAATGCAAAAAAAAAGAAATAATGAAATAAAAAATAAAATTGAGTAGCAAATGAAAAAATGAAACTTGAAGTTGATCATTAATATCAGTTATTAAAATGTTTTATTTATTTTCTATGAATTTATAAATACTTCAAAACCAACTTCAAATACCATGACCAAATTTACGATTCACATTCATTATGAATTACTGCGTATACAGACTTATTTTCATAATGCAAATTAATATAAAATGACATCTTTACTGCACTATAGAAACATTTCTGTATGTTAAACTTTCTGATTGAGGCTAATTGGAAAAAGTTGGGGCTTAACCTAGGAGCTAAAGAAGGCTGCTTGTACTGTGGAGATCCCAGGGCTCTCAAACAGCTCGAGCCGCCTACTGAACTCCACAGGCAACTCCCCAGGGTCAAATTAGACTCTTCTTGGTTTGCAAAGAAAAATTTTTTCTAAAATTTTATAATTCAATTTCCAAAAGTTGACCCGATTATACACTGTTTCTGCAAAATATTTCTTGTAATAACAAAGAACAAAAATGGAATGCTTAATGAATTCACATTTTAAAATAAACCTGTTTTTATCTGCTGTGGGAATCTTTGATTCCAGAAATTATAAAGAGGTTCTGTATCTTCACACTTTGAATAAGCATAATACCTCAAAAAAATGACACTTGACATGTCAGCGTGTTTGTCATTTCATTTTAAATTCAATTTGTTTTTTCCCAGAAAAAAATGAAATTAAATCATTTCTTCTTAAGAAATCATGTGTTACCTTTGTGGGGAGTTTTTGGTTTATAATACGTATAATATTTATTTTAAAAATAATAAAGACCAGGCACAGGGGCTTATGACTGTAATCCCAGCATTCTGTGACACTCTGAGGTGGGAGGATCTCTTGAGCCCAAGAGTTCAAGACCAGCCTAGGCAACATTAACAAGACCTCATCTCTACAAAAAAATGTAAATGCTAGCCAGGCATGGTGGCATGCAGCTGTGGTCTCAGCTACTCAGGGGCTCAGGTGGAAGGCCTGAGCCCAGGAGTTCAGTGCTGCAGTGAACCATGATCATGCCACTATACTCTAGCCTGGGCAGCAAAGCAAGACCCTGCCTCTAAATAGTAAAGAATATTCCCTACTTTACAGTGACTTTTTTAGTGTCACACAGGGCCAGATGAATATGTTGAAAAGTACTCAGAATTAATTTCAGTTCACCGCCTGGTACCTCACAATGAGTACTGAGAGATGAAAGGCACACTGCAGAGCTGACAGAGGGCTCTCAGAGATGGCTCTTGGGTACCAGGTACCCATTCAGAGGTCAGAACACTGGAGGGCTGACAGTTCAAGTTCTTCGGGGAGTCTCTCATTCCTATGTTAAGACATTTGACCTGAGATGGTAATTGTGGACTGAGCTGGGAAGACAGGTCTGTCCCCTCCACCAAGTGCAAAGAAAAAAGGGAATGAATCACATAAAGAATTCATCTTGAGGCAGAGATAGCAGTGCATGCAATATATGGAATTTGCATTACCAAGAGCTGGTAATAATTATCAAATAATCTGAAAGAGACTCTAAGATAAGTAGGCTTAACATGTTTAAAGAGATGAGAAGAAAAAAAGAAACTGAGGTAGCCGGGGATGGTGGCATGCGCCTGTAGTCCCAGCTACTCAGGAAACTGAGGTGGGAGGATCGCTTGAGCTCAGGAGTTTTGGGCTGTAGTGCACTATGCCAATCAGGTGTCCACACTAAGTTCAGCATCAGTATGGTGACCTCCTGGGAGTGGGAGACCACCAGGTTGCCTAAGGAGGAGTGAACTTGCCCAGGTCAGAAATGGAGCAGGTGAAAACTCCTATACAGATCAGTGCCTGTGACTAGCCACTGCACTCCAGCCTGGGCAACATGGCGAGACTTGGTCTCTTAAAAAAACAAAAAGGAAAACTAAGGTAAACCAAGACAGCTTAATAATAGATTTGACAACCATATTAATAGACATTCTAGACAATGAAGAATATAGTCATTGAAATAGAAAACTTCAGTGTCTAGGTGTCACAGAACCAGATGTGACTAAAGAGGGAGTTTGTAAATTGGAAGACAGTGAAGGGACTCAAGTAGCATGGAGCACAGAGAGAAAAATGGAAAATGTAAAAGAAAAAATATTAGAGTAGAAGGAAATATTTCAAAATATGTCCAATTAGGAGATCCAGAAGCACCATCTAGAGGAGGGCAGAATCCTCCAGGATTTGACAGACACAAGTTCACAGACGTAAAGGCACATTGAATTCTAAGCAGTAGACGTAAAACAAATCTACACAAGTGGCTTGCCATAGCCCTCCACTCTGTCACTCCCACCCCTACGCTGCATACCTTCACTGTCTTTGGTGTGTGAAAAGGCATTTCTGCTCCTTCTCACACTTTAACTTTTAGACATGGGGCTTTCACAGCCTAAAATGCCTTCTCCCTCTACTTTCTAGGCAACTTTTCCTAAATCTACTCATCCATGGAGATTCAGCTCAATGTCTAGCCTCTCTATAAAAATATCCCTGACTACTCCATTCCCCATTTAATTCCTATTATGCCCTTTTTATCTGATTGTTTCACTGGGACCTCATGTCATACGTGCATGCCATATTTCCTGAGTAGGTATAAATTTCAAGATCATATACCAACTTGCATGTGTTTTACGCCCTCCACTGAGACACATATGGAGTGTTCGATACATATTTACAGCATTAAATGATTTCAGGGGAAAATACGTGAACTTAAACAAGATCGCCTCCATCTTTATCTCAGTCTGAAAGCGGGGATTGAAAAATCCTAGCATGCAAAGCGTGTAGAATCTTTAAATAAAACAAAATCTCAATTTTTTCCCATTTTGTCTCTATGTTTCCCATCTGTTATTTTGATTCTTTTACTAACTTACTTTCTTTTTAGATACATACCACAGAAGAACTGGAAAAAAGTTATAGTTAGGGTTATCTCATGGAGATTTTGCTCACAGGTGCATCATATCCCAAGCTGTATGCTAACCATACAGCTTGGTGGTTGTTTAAACCAGTAAATTTCAGAGTGGTTTGTTGAAAGGCAAGAGATAACTACAGCAGAATATAGATAGAGCAGGGTTAGTAAGATAAGGAAAGAAAGAACAGACAGACAGAAAGAGACTCTGCATGATGGGGAGTATAAGCTTAATTCTGGACTTTGGCATTCTATTAATAGTTCCATGAGACCTGAATGAATGTCCCTTGGGAGCATGAACTTTGTTCCTGTCCCTGTACTTCATGAGACCCTAAGTTTCTAGACAATATAATGACCTTTAATATGACCAGTTTAAAGAGTTTCTGTTTACAAAGGCTTTCACTATAATATCCATGTATTATAGTTACCATTTTGCTCATGCCTTTGCAGTGGAATTCTGCAAAAATTCATGGCATCTATAACTGTAGTAATGATAAGGCAGTCTTTATCAATTAGCTACCTTATAACATCAAGATTGCTGACCCTGTAAGCTTTAGAGACTGGAATAATTAGAAAGAATAAGGCACAAGTATCTCTTATGATAGGTGTATCCAGATATGTTCTGCTAACAGGTGATTGTGAAGTATGGATGCTAATATACTCATTAATAATAGAAAAGGCAATCCAACATATTTCCAAGCAACCCATCATATTTCCATATTTTAGGTAATTCTATGATGATACAAAGTAATTGTGTAATGGAAAATTTAGTATAAGTGCATTCAAATCTGAGCAAAGCTGTGTAGTGACAGAAAGATACCAATGGGTCTATCTCCCTGTTTTGAGATGCTCCTGAATTAAAATCATGCATTGTTCAGTATTTAGAACATCTGCTATAATATCTAGCAATATATTTTCCATTACATACCTAAAGATTCCCAAAGAAATTATTTTTGTTTTGTTTACTCTCCCCTACGATTTTTAGAGTATATTTTTACTAATATTTTTAGTGTTTATTATTTTAAGTGAGGATGCATATTAAGAATCAGATTACCATTCTATCCTATGGTCTGAAGTCCAGTCATTCCTCCAAAGGCCACCAACATTTCTCCCAAATTATATATCTCACTGAATCTTCAAGCCTTCCTTCATGCCATTCCTCCTCTTATCTTCCTAATATGTTCATTATCATCCTTCAAGACCCTGCTCAATGTCACTTGCTCTATGAAACATTTCTGTCATTCACTAACCTCTCTGCCTTTTCTTGACAGACTTACGTATATAGATATATATACACATATACATATATACATATCCTCATTTATATGTACATAAAATGCTCTATATACCTATAATACTGAAAAATATTTATCACAGTTTCTTGTTTGGACTTCTATTTTCTCAACTACATTGTGATTTCCTTGAAAGCAGTGATCAAATATGATTCGTTATTGGGTTAATTGTACTTAAGCAAAGTGCCTGAATCACAAGACACCCTCTGTAAAATACATACAGAATGGGTGCTTTCTGTTCCTGGTGCCTTACTCTAAGCAGCCTGAAATGCCTTTCATACCAGCATTAAAAAAAAGAGAGAGAGAAGAAAATTATAACCCATTAAAGGGATGAGAAACATAAGGAATTAAGAGGAAAATACTTATCTAAAATTACCACACATGAGAGAAATCTCTGACATTTTCAGATGGATAGATCCATTTCACCCTTCTGTTTCTCTGAATTATAAATTATTCCATTTTATAGAGTTAAATACATTATAATTAACTGCATACATGGTCATAATAAAGCAGAATTTCCCGTTTTCAGTTCACTACCTAAACAGAGCTACCCACAGAACAGGGATAAAAACAGATTACCAATTACAACCTAAGGTACCCCACCAAAAAACATCTGCTTTAATAAGTAACCCTTCTGTGTTAATGGATCCTATATGCTGAGCATCCTTAGGGCTCAAGTACAATTTATGCCTCATTATCTTATATCTTCATAACATCTCTAGCTGTTTCATTTCATCTGATTCTGTCTAGAGAGCAAATGCTTCAAAGATGTTGCCTCAGTCAGGGTCCCAGCAGGAAACAGATGGAACACTCAAACGGGGCAACTGAGGGAGTTTAATAAGGGGTTACTTATCAGATGTGGGCAGGGATTAGGGAAACCTTGGAGGGAATGTGAGGTATCCTAGACCTGAATGAGAAAGAGAACAGAGCTACAGAAACCAAGAAAAGTATTAGAACAATAAGAGAGATCTTCCTGGCAGACTCTAGCTTCCAGGAGAGGAACAGATGTTGGCAAGGAGAGACCTGGGGGTCCCTTAGCAACTGACCTCACAGTTCTCCTCCCTCCAATCTCCTCTAGAAACTCCCACTGCCTGAAGCCATTGTAAAGCCAGAGAATAAGGAAGCCCACCAATGTTGCAATTAATGGCCAGCCTTAGGAGGACAGGCTGGAGAAAATGGAGAATGACTCTCAAGGGACATCCAACACAAATGGGATCAGTATAAATTCAATATTTATATATTTATATATATTTATACTTGCTTTTCTCAGCTCTAGCCTTCCCATATGAAAGCAGTAAGCATGCAATGGAAAGAAGAGGAAAGAGCAAAGACAAGGTGTTTGTTATATTGCAATCACACTGTGTATAGAA